CAAGTAAGCGCGGGATGCTTGAGGGAAAATATAAGGATGCGGGATGCATACAACAACCTATCTGAACTGCATGGAATATCAAGTAAGCGCGGGATACTTGAGGGAAAATATAAGGATGCGGGATGCGTAAAACAACCAATCTGAACTGCATGGAATATCAAGTGARCGCGGGATACTTGAGGGAAAATATAGGGATGCGGTATGCGTAAGACAACAAATCTGAAATGCTTAACTCGCATGTTGTTTCTACTTTACATATCGTTATTTATAACAATTGTATTATCCTTTCTAATGCGCATCTGASAATTAATAATGTGGTTTTCTCCCTACCTGCCAATCAACGGAACGACTTCTGAAGTCTCTGGTATGTGTGTAGAAGCAAGGAGGAAGAATACCGTTAGGGACAACAGTAAGGTAACACCCACCACCATCAGCTCACCACAGTCAGGAGGAAGAATAAAGARAATTATTGTCATGAGAGACACTAGCATACAAGGGCTGACCAGGTAGAAGAAGTAGTAGAATACTTGACGTTCAATGTAGATCATGTATTTGACCCCTGTTCGTGTGTCGTTGGAAAGGAGGGGTGGAGTAGTTTGTTGGATGTGTGCTCCACGGAGGATCCATTCGCTGCTTTCTGGGTAGAAAAAGGTGACATTGGATTAAAAATGGAATTGGATTGCAGGGAAGGAAGGATGGGAGAAGGCTATAAAAAAAAAAAAACGATTAATACAGACAACAAAAAATACTAGAGGAAATTAAAGAAGAATTAAAGAATAGAAGAGAGGAGGTAGATGGATGGATGGATGGATAGAATAGATGGATGGATGGAATAGATGGATGGGATGAATGGATGGATAGAATGGATGGATGGGATGGATGGATAGCAGCAGTAAGGGGGACTCGCGGTCACTGTTCGGAATACGCCCGGGATTACCCGACCCAAGTGGCATGCGTCCCCCGCGGGAATTATTCGAGCCAACTCTACGGACTTTTAGGCAAATATCCGATTTGACCACTTTACCCGTACCAAACCCGTAGGCAGTTAGAAGAGTGTATGGATTGTCAGTGCCTCGACAACCATGTTTCGACTACCTTTTTTTCGTGTCCCAAAAGATGTGCAACCGCGTCTAGAAGAGTGTATGGATCGTCACTGCCTTTTTTTGTGTCCCAAAAGATGTAGATCCGTGTTCCAAAAGATGTGCAGCCGTGTCCCAAAAGAGTGTATGCGTGTTCCAAAAGATGTAGATCCGTGTCCCAAAAGAGTGTATGCGTTTCCCGAAAGATGGGAGAGGAACGATTCGTTCCCCTATCGACGCCGCGGTAGCTGCAACAAAGTCGCCACGTGGCCTGGTATGCGA